GGGGGGGGGGGGGGAGGGGAGTAATTGTTTGTTTATTTAATATCTCCAGGAGACTAGACTGCAAGCATTACTAATCATTCCAGGGACAGAAAATACATGAGGGGTTTTTACCAGAAAAAGGAATTGCTTTAGGTACAAGACCTCAATTTTTGCCTTTCTGGAACAGGACAGTCCTCTTTCAAGCTGCAAATACATTTAACCAAAATCCATATTCTTACAATCTTGTCACATTTGGTCATTAGCTAAATGCTTTTTAACTTTTAAGCACCAGTCTCATTCACTGAACCCATGAAGACACTAGTTATCACAACATTTTAGTTTGTAACCAGGGTTTTATATATCACGTATTTTCAGTTCTCTCCTTCCAACACACACAGATTTAAAAAAGAATATTCAATGCTTTCTAATACTATTTATATCCAATAGCATTTCACAGTCACTGCAAACACCTTTGCAATTTTTCAATACCTTATATCTCAGTAATTTGTCCTGACCAAAAACCCCACACATGTTCAGACCTGAAATAGCTTTTAACCTCTACACTTGAAAAAAGCTGGTCAGGTCTGTATTCTCACAAGTCTGTAAAAAGTTGATTGCTTTAAAACTGGAAGCTAGACTTTCCATTAGACAGCTTGTTTGAAGTGACTGGGCTAAATTCACTACCCATATCAGTCACACAGCCTTAATTCTGTCCTTATGTGCTTAAGTATCACCTGTGCACAGGATGGATGATAAACAAGATAGTTGTCTGTGGGACCACTGACCTGCCAGTAGCACTAAAGAGTGCGTTTCAAAAGAGGCAAGGAGACTAGAGAAAGCAAAAGAACTGTCTTGTAGTGAAAGCCTGTTACTTGGGACCTGCACAAACTGGGTTCACTCAATCCCTGACAAAGGCTTTGGTGTGTGGGGACAAGCCACTTAACTCAAAAATCAGTTGCCAAGAATCACCTGTTAGTCCCCCCCACCACAAACCTCCCAGAATTTCCTTTTGCCAAACATGGAGGGAGTGCAGTTTTCAGAAGTACTGAGCACTTAGATCTAAGTGAAGTGGATGGGAGCAGAGACAAACTGGCATCTGTAGAAGGAAGGGGCTTGTGGGGGGCACCCAAGCAGATTAAGTTGGGCATCACATTTTAAGAGGCAAAACATAGCCTTGACATCAGTGCCTCAGCTCCCTCCATTTGTAAAATTGGGGTGATTTGTCCCTATTCCACAGGATCTGTGAAGAAAGCTTCATGAACACTTGTGACAGAATGAGTACCATGAAAGAGCTATGAGGAAACAAGTACTTCCACAGGCAGTGATGAACTGAACAGCGTGCAGTAAAAAAAGAGGCATGGGACCAAAGAGAAAGAAAAGAACAGAAGAAATATTAAACTGCTGCATCATTTGCCAGGTTTACTTACATCCTGTACACTGAAGGGAGATAGAAGGCTGGACAGAGTAGATCCTACAGAAATTATATGATCACGTGTCACTTCAGATTGTACCTCAGTACATATGCATGAGCAAGCAAAACAAGAAGTTCACAGCAGCCATGTGACATTTCCCAGCCTGAGCACTTGACTTTGCACCTTTGATAGATATCTATTTTAATAGTGAAGGTATCGCACACAAATCATGACATGCTTTATGCAAAAGGCCCCAACCAAAAGAGCTGGGTTAAATACCTGAGCTGAAAATCTTAAGGCAGGCAAGGTTCTTTGAGTAATATCTTTTATTAGACCAACTGGGTAGCTGGAAAAAAAAGTTTTAGGCAAGCTTTTGGCCGCAGTCATCCTTCTTCAGGCATAGGGAATCTCTGCCAGTCAGACTCCAAGGAAAATTTTAAAGAATGTACCAAGTTCCTGAACACAGACTTCACTGCATTTACCAGCTTTTACTGGAGAAAAAGGATCTACAGTTCCAGATAATATTTAAGCATTTTTATCCCTGAAGATCTATAAAGAGCAGAAATTAAGCACTCTCCCTTCTGATGTTACTGTTTAACATCCCAACTGCTACAGAAATTTAAACTGCCATTTTTTCTGGCCATTAAAGCCTATTATGCAGGGGTGGGCAATTATTTGGCCCCGAGGACCAGACAGGGAGTTTTAGGGAGCTGTTGCAGGCTGTACCAGCACTGGCCCCTCTCCCTCCCTCCCCAACAGCTCACCAAATGCCCCTATGTGGGATGGGGGCCATCGGGAGGAGCTGGTGTGGGTGCAGGTGGTATCTTCAGCTTCCAGTCCACCCTTCTACCCCAAAGAGGGGCTTGGGCACATGCCCTGATCCCCAAAGGAAGCTGCTGTCTGTGTCTGCAGCTGATGCTAGCACCTGACCAGTGCTGATTCTGGCACACAAGCCAGGAGCTAGTGTAAGCTGCAGAGCTGTGCTGTAGGTGTAGGATGGCTGGAGGGGGGAGGGGCTGGGGGGGAGGGGCCCCCCTCCAGGCCACCTCAGGCCTCTGTGAAGTGGCCGCAGTGGGGAGAAGCCACAGGGCAGCCCCAGCATGGGCTCCAGTTGCTGCCACTCATCATGGGCAGGACCTGCCTCCATCTCCCTCCCCTCCTCCTCCCCCAGCCATCCTGCACTTACAGCATAACTCCACAGCTTACACCAGCTCTCAGCCAGTGCGCTGGAAGCAGTGTCAGGTGGGTGCTGGCCATCAGCTATGGATGCAAGCAACTGGTTCCCACTGTGGATCAGGGCATCCTCCTGGGTCCACAAGTGACGCTGTTGCCCCGTCAGTCCCCGTGGTCCCTGGCAGTCACCCCGATCCCTGGAGAGAGCCTACAGGCAGAGTCCATAGCTACTGCCAGCATCCACCCAGCACTGCTCGCAGCGTGTGGGGCAGGAGCTGGTGTAAGCTGTGGACACAGCCAGGATGGAGCCAGGACATGCCTGCCCACCTGGCAAATCACAGCAGCCAAAACCACCAGCTCCCTACAGACCGGATCCTATGACTTTGTGGCTGCCGACCCATGAGTCAGGTGCAAATCAGTTGCCAGCCCAGATCCCGCCATGAGCCATATTTTTCCCATCCATCCCTGCTATTATGGAACTACCAACCTAGCTAGTGAGAGGGAGTCCCCAGAGCAACACCAATATCAATACACTGAAATTCCTCCATTATGACGAAGCCTAGAGGCAGACTATAAGGGGAATCTGTGTCACAGGTTGACAAGAGGCAGAGTGCTTTTGTTTCTGATGGGGGGAAAATAGTGTGTGCATGGTGAAGGGGTGTGGGGAAGGGAGCCAGCTGCAGAACTTTTCTGTACCAATAGAGGACACTGGGAGACAATAATCTATTGTGTCAGTGAGCTCAGGAGTTGAAGGCAGTGAATGAGACAAATTGAGCCCACTTCTGCCTGCCATTCACACATAATTATGCAGCATGCTTGGGCTTAGTGGCAGCTGTAGCATTTTGAGACCCTAGGCAAAGGCCTTGCCTGCATGTCAAACATTTGCCAGCCTAGCTATGCTCACAAACCTCACCAGTAGAGTTGTAAGGGTTCCTCTGCCAGCATAGTTTCCTGAACAGAATATGCTACAGTAGCAAAGAAACTCCTCCCCTCCTCTCAGTATAACTCACAATCTGCAGTGGAGTGTCTGCCAGCAGAGCTATTATGCCAGTTGGGGTGGGGATAGTCCACCCCCAACCCCTTGGCAGCTATCGTAGAAAGGTTTTATAGCGCACAGTAGGTCAAAGACAAGTGACAGTCATGCAGCAGATGAAATGCACAGCTCCTCTGAAGGTCCTAGTTGCTATTAGATACCAGCTGTTCATGAAGGATTCCTTGCTAACAAGGTGGAGGTTTCCTTTCTGAAAGGCAAGCAGCATGTTCAGCCCCCTCTCAATACTTCCTACCTACCCATGTATGGGACAGGGAAACTACTGCACGCTTACCCAAGGGTGCCCCTTCCTTTCCACCGCTCTTCATGCTCAACAGGCCTCTCTTCTCTCAGCCTTTTGGAAGGGTAAATCAGGCATGAATGACTTAAAAAGGCACAGAGCTGAAAGCTCCCTGCATGCTTCCTTGGGGAGCGTTAACAAACAAACAAATTACCTCTCCCAAGAAAGTAGTAGTCAGGGTCCCCAGTGGAAGAGAGGTTGCGCCCAACCCAGCATCACTGCGAAGAGCAAGGAAAAAAGATGCTCCCCCTCTTCCATCCCAAGGGAAGGAATACTTGCCAAGTGTCTCATCAGTGCATTTCCTCCTGGAAAAACTGTGCCCCACTCCAGGCCCTATATGCTGAGATCCATGTTTAGGGTAGGTGTCCAGTAACCTTTCCTTCCTCCTTCCCTTCCTCCCTCCACACACCCAAGCCATGGAGGGAGTTAATCAGAAATGTAGGGGCACTAGTGGCAAGAGTAAGAGGACCCCTCTGGGCTGCCAAAAGAAAAAAAACAGAGAGAATAAGTAACTGCATTGCTGATGTACCTGACTGCACATATAAGAAGTATTTTAGCAAACTCAAAAGGGTGAAAAGAAAAAGGAAAGAAACAAAGAGAAGGAGGGTGGGGGGAAACTTTCAAGAGTATTATCTGAAACCTAAAGGACAAT